GTGTACTTTGTCAATCTGCCTGTTCTGCTCCCAACTCTGTCTCTGGTGAATACTCTCACAGCCCCTGCATCTCTGGCCTGTACCCCAGTTCTGTATGCATAAATAAATAAATCTAAAAAATTCTCCAAAGGAGATAAACACATGCCTTTTGCAGCAATATGGATGGAGCTGGAAGGGATCATGCTTAGTGAAATAAGCCAGAAAGAAAAATACCGGATAGTTTCACTCATAGTGGAGTATAACAGAACAGGTGAGAAAATAATAATAATAATAATAATAATAATAAATATTTTATGGGGGTGGAGTGGGGAATGGGATAAAAAATGGGGAGTGCGGGTGGGGGATGGAAGTGCACTAGACTATGCTGATGGCACACAGGTGATATGGTGATGGAAAGCCCAATGGGGATTATAACTAAGATGGAAAAAGGCACAAAATGATGTAAAAATAAACTATTATTTAAAAAAGTAGGTAAAGGATCTGAATAGACATTTTTCAAAAGAAGATACACACAAGTAACTAGTAAGCATGTGCTAAAATGCTCATTATCATTAGTCATCAGAGAATTAAAATCAAAACTAGAAGCACTACTACTTTATATTCACTAGGATGGCTATAATCAGAAAGACATACAATAACAAGTTTTATTTTATCAAAAAGGGTTTTGAGACAGGAGAGGTCTGCTGTACCATCGGGGTCAGCTTATTGGCCAGGGATCAAACTCAAGCCATCACAGGTGATTAGAGCTCAGACTTAACCCCTAGGCCATCAGGAATGTCCCCCAACAAACAAGTTTTGATGAAAATGTGGTGAAACTGGCATTCTCACACACTACTAGTGAGAATGTAAAATTTAACAGTCACTTTAGAAAACAGCCTGGCAGTTCTTCAAAATGTTCAACAAAGTTCTACGATCCAACTTCAATTCCAAGTAATATACTCAAGAGAATAGAAAACATGTCCACATAAAAACTTGTGTATGAATGTTCACAGCATTATTATTCATAACAGCCCCAAATCAAAACAACCCAAAAGTCCACTGGCTGATGAATAAACAAAATATGGTATGTCTGTATAACATTATTCAGTCATTAAAAAGCAGTGAAGTACTGATACATGCTACAACATGGATAAACCCTGAACACATCATGCTCAGGGAAAGAAGCCAGAGGCAAAAAAAACCTCATAATGTATGATTTCATTTGTATACAAAGTCCAGACTAAGGAAATCCACGGAGACAGAAAGTAGACTGATGGTTGTCTACAGCTGAAGTTTTGAGGAAAGTGAAAATAACTGCTTATGGGTATAGAGTTTCATTTTGGAGTGATGAAACACTCTGAAATCAGATGATTGTAACAGAACTCTGAATAAAGCCAACAAATTGTATGCTTTATTTTATTTTATTAAAGATTTATTTATTTATTCATACAGAACTGGGGTACAATCCAGAAATGCAGAGGGTGAGAGGATTCACCAGAGACACAGTGAGGAGCAGAACAGGCAGGTCAACGAAGTACACTGCTGTGTGGAGCAGCGGGCGTGTCAGGAGAGGTCTGCTGCGCCATGTGGTCACCTCTGGGGCAGGCGGGGATTGAACTCATGCTGAAGTGGCTTTAGCTTCTTAGTGCTGTGCTTTAACCCGCTGCGCCACCAGGGAGGGCCCTGTGTGCTTTATTTTTAAGTTTTTAGAAAATATTTATTTATGCATACAAGAACTGGGGTAAGTGTGTGCTTCAAAATGGTAAATTTTATGTTACTGACTTGTATCTCAACAAAGCTGTTATTTAAGAGAAGACAGTGAAAATATTTTAACCTGTAACTCATGGACACGCCTTCTGTTGCCTTTTTCAGATTTATTTTTTAGGTTTTTGACTCATCAAATTACTTTGTTTGCTGTACAGTGCCTATTTCTAAGATATGTTTCCATCTGAGCTAGAAAACTAGAAATGCAAAATTACTACAAATAACAATATTGCTCTCAGTACCTCAAGAGCAAACTATGTTTCTATAACAGCTTATTGCTAATTTCTAGCATTCTGACTAAAGAAATGCTGGATGAGTATAGTGATACTACACATTCATTCCATAGCCATTAGATCAATGAATAGTATCTCTGATATAAACTGTTCACTAAGTAGTACCATGGAAAAAGGAGTAGATATGGACCCAGAAGGCTTAGGTGCTAGCAATGGCTCTGACACTAACCTGGTGTATAATCACTGCAAAATCCTCCCAACATTCTAGGCTTTGGTTTCTCTATCTATAAACTAAAGAGCTGACAACTTTCCTTCTGAATCTCTATGTCTTTTCATATATAATCATGATGTCTTCACAAATAACAATGAAATATATCTCTTAAGGTGCCTAAATCTGAAATGTATCAAAGGTGCCAAAATAAAACAGCAAAGTTAATAGCATACTTACGAGTGCGGTCCCTGTTCCAGGCATGACAGGTGATTGGCTCTAGTAAAAATTGATGCAGAGACATTCTCCTTAGTGTTTTCAAAGAACAGAGAACTGTAATGAGCAACAGCAAAAAAAAAAAAAAAGCATTTAAAATGCAAGCAACCAACTTTTAAAATATCAGGGGATGAAGGGGGTCAGGGATAAATAAAACATTTTCCCATTAAAAAGGGATCACTGTTGTAAAGAAGTGGAAAGACATTATGCTCATGGATACGAATATTGTCAAAATAGCTATTCTACCTAAAGCATTATACAGAATCAATACAATCTCTGTTATGTTCCCAATGCCACTTTTCACAGAACTAGAACAAAAAAATTCTAAAATCTGTATGGACCCACAAAAACCTTGAATAACCAAAGCAACATTGAAAGAAAAAAAGAATAGAGCTATGTTCCCTTTCTTCCAACACACTACAAAGCAACAGTAATCAAGGCAGTATGGCAATGGAATTAACAATGGGCATAATGACCAATGGAATAGAATTCAAGAGCCCTTAAATAAAACCATATGTATATGGGCAACTGATTTATAACAAGTCTTCTACAATGGAGAAAGTAAAGTCTTGTTATTTATTTTTTTAAAGATTTATTTATTTATGCATACAGAACTGAGGTACAGACCAGAAGTGCAGGGGCAATGAGAAGATTCACCAGAGAAAAGAGTGGGGAGCAGAACAGGCAGAATGATAAAGTACAATGCTGAGGGGAGCAGCAGGGGAGACAGGAGAAGTCTGCTACACCATGTAGGTCACCTCCTGGGCCATGGCCGGGATAGAACTTGAGTTTAAGCAGCTGCAGATAGCTTCATAGTGCTGCATTTTAACCCATTAGGGAGGGCTCAGAAAAGTCTCTTAATAAGTAGTGCTGTGAAAACTGAGCAGGCACATGTAAAAGAATGAAATAGAGTGCTCTCTTACAACATATAATAAAGTCAACTCAAAATGGCTCAAAGATTAAAAGTCAGACCTGAAACCATAGAATGCACAGACAAAAAGAAGTAAAAAGTTCTCTGATGTGTCTTTGAGGATTCATCTCTAACAAGAGAAACAAAAGAGAAAATAAACGGGACTGCATCAAGAGAAACAAAAGAGAAAATAAACAGGACTACATCAAACTAAAAAGCTATGCACAGCTAAAGAAATCATAGATAAAACAAAAAGGCAGCCTATGAATGAGAAGATATTTGCAAACCATATATTAGACAAGGGGTTCATATTCAAACTACATAAACGTATACAATTTAAAAACAAACAAAAAACTAATTGAGAATTAAATAGACATTTTACAAAAAAAGAGATTAGCGAGACTCATGAAAAGACGCTCTACATGGTTGTCACTAGGGAAATGCAAAGCAAAATCACAATGAAATTTTCACCTCATTTTGGTTAGAACAGCTATTATCAAAAAGTTGAATAATGTTGGTGAGCATGTGAAGAAAAAGGAACTTTTACTGTTGGTAGGAATGTAAACTGCTACAGCCATTATGAAAAATAATATGGAGATTCCTTAAAAAATTGAAAATAGAGTTACCATATAATCCAGTAATCCCAATTCTGGGCATTTTGGGGGCCTCCCTGGGATGCAAGGGGTTAAGTCATAGCACTATGAAGCTATCCAAGTTAGATCCCTTGCCAGGGAGCTGACCCATATAGAGAAGCAGATCTCTCCTGTCTTGCCAATGCTCCCCTCAGCAGTGTATTTCAGTATCCAACTGTTCTGCTCCCCACTCTGTGTCTGGTGAATCCTCTTACCCTAGTACCTCTGGCTTGTACTCCAGACGTACTTGTATTTATGCATGCATGCATAAATAAATAAATACATAAATAAATCCATCTTTAACTGGCAGAAAAATGTGTTTCACATTCTTTAAGAGTGGAGTTAGATTACTTTTTTCCTTCATGTGCTCTAGAAAACAAATTCCAACTCACAAATAAAGGAAAAGCTTCTGACTGGAAATTAGAGTTTTTTTAAATGAATTCAAATGAGGGGCCCTCCCTGGTAGCTTGGCGGGTTAAAGCACTGCACCAAGAAGCTTAAGCCACTTCCTCTCCTGACCAGCCCGCTGCTCCCCTCAGCAGTGTACTTCGTTGATCTTTCTGTTCTGCTCCCCACTCTGTCCCTGGTGAATCCTCTCACCCTCTGCATCTCTGGCCTGTACCCCAATTCTATATGAATAAATAAATAAATCTTAAAAAAAAAAGAATTCAAATGAGATTGCCTTTTTTTTTTTTTAAAGTAAACTGCATAAATACCTTTTATCTCTGGTATCAGATGCTTAACCATCCTAACAGATTTTAATCATGGTTACTCAAAATAAATATCCCTTAATTAATGGCAACTTAGCCCAAATGCTACTTTTTTTTCCCCCAAATGCTACATTTTATAGGCTCACTTGTTAAACAAATTTGGACTGGAAATTAATAATTTAATGTGGATATTTACATGAGTAAAAGCACACATTTCATGTACAGTTAATAAGGAACAGCTGCAGACAAAGGCTTTCTCATTCTTCAATTAATTTTACAAGCAATGTAGAAAAGTCTTCAAAAGAGGCAAATATTCACATATTGGCATAAATGCTTCTAAAATTGCATTTATAATTTTGTTGTGTCATTCAGTTTCCATATTTGGACACACACACCTATACTTCTTTTATAATTATGTCTATTTTAAGTCTATAGATGAAAGCATTCATGTTTGTCAAATCTATAACGTACCTGCAAATACAACTTATTTTCACATAATAATAGTTTGAATTTGCACTAACAAAAAGCTACCTTTTGTCACAGGATCAATATTAATCTGAAAAACTTTGTATTAATGGAGAGAGGAGAAAAGAGGAGAGATAATAAAGGTGATGATATTAAAGTTAACAAGCTTCCCCTGATGATCTTTAATTGTTATTCACTGCAATGACTGAGATGATGATTTACAGTATATTATGATTCCCGGGTCTCCTTTCACCCTCACCTCCTTTCTTTCCCTTTCACTGAATAAGCGTCATTTTGATATGTGATTAGTCTTGGGGTGTGGAGCCAAAAGGACCTGAGTTTGAATCGTGGCCTTAACACATACAAGAAACCCTGGGAAAAGTACCCAATATCTCTAAGTCTCATTTAACTCATCTATAAAATGAATATGTGATATATCACTGACACCCCAAGGTTGTTGGTAGAGGATTAAATGAGATTAAAATGTGAAATCCTGGATCAAAAAAGAGGCTCAGTAAGTTTGTTCCCTATCTTCCTTGATCTAAAGTTTTGAATCATTCCTAGAAATATTCCCCAGTTATATCCTGTGAACTTGAAAACATCTACATATTAATTCTTGGCCCTGGAACTTGAAAGTATTTACCCAAGTGGGAATTTCAGTTTACTGTTTAGGATCAGTTGTCAAGCCTGTGATTCATCCAGCTTCTAATTGTTCTCATTACCCAGCCCTGCAATATCAGGTATTCCAACAAGGTCACCACACCCTCCCCAAGTTTCAGTTCCAGGCACCAACCTCACAAGACCATTTAAACTTCTATGCATAAAATTGTTTCAGCACAGCATTAACTAACTACGTCAAAAAACTGCCACTCTCCCTACAAGCAGGGGTTTGGATTTTCCAAGATGCTACCCTCCTTTAGTTGTGATTAGTAGATAAATTAACATCGGAAGTCTCGAAATACTCTATGATAGGAAGCAGCCATGATCACACCCACTGCCAGACAGGGCAAACACACCCTACTGACTGCTATTCTTTTTTTAGATACCTGAAAAACCCGGGCCCAGTGAAACCAAAAAGGGTTCAATAAAATGGACAAAAGGCAGAACCAGGATAATTGAGCTGATTTCAAGAATAAGTTGTCGTTTCCAAGCCGCAGTATGAGAGCAGATGGCTTTAAAATCACAGATTCTGAACTACATTTATTAAGCGCCTACCCACGATGTTCCCAGCAGTACAGTGAGTACTGGGTTGGGGCCCGAAACAAATCCGATAATTTTCGGGTCCTCCAGTTTGGGGGTGGGAAGACACACACACAGAGAAAACCCAGAAGCAGCAGTAACAGCTAATATCTGACCACCTACTCTGGGTCAGGAGCTGTTCTAACCCATTTCCATAAATAAACTCACGGAAGAGTGTTCTCACTGGAGAGAACCTTCTCCGGGTCACTGACCCAGGCGGTGGCAATCCGACTGCGGGGCTGGGAGGTGAAAGGCACCGCGGGAAAGCGAGGAATGGGGAGGAGCAAATGGGACTTGGGGCAGCGCTCGAACCCGGATTCTTAGAAAACTCGGGGGAAGACTGCGAGTTATGGAGGGTCCCTCGATCGCGGAAGAAATGAGGCTTGCCCCGACCGGAGCCAACATTCCACAGGCGCCTCATGTGAACAGGAACCTACTTAGACGCTCAAGAAAGAAATGAACGGTCCCCGGCGACGCCCGACGAGAGGGAGATACCATTTGCCACAGCGCTACAGACTGGGAGGAAAGCTCGCAACAGAGGTGCAACTAGGGCTGTGGAAGCACAGGAGAAGGCGCCGTTAATTCTGACCCTGGAAGACTTGAAGCTCCAAAATAAAGCCGCAGCGAACTGTGTGGTCTGCCAGACGCAGGAGAACCCGGGTCCCCGCCCCTCCAGAGGCCGGCTGGGAGAATCGGCCCACCCCTCAGCCTCCGCGCCCTGCGGCCTAAGCCCCCGCCTCAGCGACCCCGCAGGTTCGAGTCCGCGGCGGGACCCAGGCGGAGGAGGTCGGCAGGGTCAGACGCTCGCCTCCGCTGCCCCTTACCTGGGGTGGGGGACGTTAGGACCGGGTCGGAGCGGATAATTCGCGGACTCTGGTCAGTCGACGCGAACAGGCTCCGACGCGCGCGGGCGGAGGACTGAGGCCCAGAGGGAGCGGCTGACAGATCCCGGAAATGGGCAGGGCGCCTGCGCAGCGCGGCCGCGCACGGTCCGCGCACGCGCAGAGCTCGGGCGCGCCGCTGAGTCCGGGGCACCTGTGGCCTTATTGGGGGTCTGGCGGGCGAGCGGCGCCAGCTGTCCTAAATCTCGCTCTTCTGAACCCTGGGCCTTTCTGAAAAGGCATCTTAAGAAGGCTAGCAAAAGATGAAGATGCGGAGTTGTTTTGCCCTTTTTCTTGAAAAACTTATCCTCTCGGGCGGAGCTGTGGAGCCTTGGCAGTTTCTCAAGTATTTTTGTCAGGAGATGAAATGCTCAGAATTGGGGATTTACCAGCCACTTGGACTCGAGGAACTACCAAGTTTTCGTATTGGAGCAACCCCCCCACCCCCCGTCAGAACTGTCAGAATTGTCTGTGGGAAACCTGAAGAAGCCCTTTGACCCATCTTGAGTCAGAACCTCTTCTTCACTGCTCCCCAGATGATGCATGGGACTGAGGAGTTGGGGGAACTCAGTAACTACCTCCAATCACGCCAAGGTAGTGCTTGCTGTGCAGATGCTATTCCCATAAAATACCCTGAGCCCCCATTTCCAGCTAGACTTGTACCGAGAACTCATAGACAGGTTGGAGCCATACTCATCTGAGGTATCACTTGCAGGTATTTTACAAGTTTGATCCCAAGGCTTGATTGACATGTTCACTAAAGTACACCTGTGACAGTCCCCATGTCAGAGGCCCATGTTCCTCGGATTAGTTAATTCTGCAGTTCACCAGGCGCGAATGCACTGGAAATAATGGTTTTAGTTTGTACCATGGATGCAAAGTCTTTGGTCATAGGGAGGTGGAGGGCAGATTGAGAAATAATCATTTAAAATTAATTACCTCCTCTTGGAGACTTGGCAAAGGAAGGACAGCACTGCTTGGAAACGGGGGCCTCCAGAGTCCATGATGTTATGAACCAATCCCAAGTTGGTAACCAGGGTCAAGATTCTGTTATAGAGCAATGGGATCACCAGTGTGCATAGATCAGATTATGACATCAGGTTTTGAGAAGAGAAAGCAGCTTTCAAAGTGATAGACAAGGAGACAGACTAAGCACACGTCTGTCTCTTGGATTTAGATAGACAATGAGGATATATAGATTTTGGGGATCAGGGTTGAGATGAAAGGAGTTAAATCTTATTGACCAAAAAGCAAGTTATTATCAAAGAAATGTGGATAGGGCTGAAATTCATTGGCTATTTATAGAGCAGTTCTATTGAAAGTGTGAAGAGGCTTTTACCCAGCTAGGTGGACTTTGAATTTCAGCCAGCGGGTAGCCAGTATACTCCTCCTCTGTTTACAGTGTTTTCCCTCTTGCCAACCTTGGAGCTCTGTGCCCAGTTGGTTGATATACCTGGAGGTTTTGTTGTATCTGCAGAAGCAAGTCTCAAAGACAAGTTTAGACAAGTTTCTTTTTTTTTTTCCTCCCCCACTCCTCTTAGGGTCTGAGGCCAGTTGAACTATTAACTTCCATTTCTTTTCCAAGAGTTTTATATAGATCCTACCTTCTTACAAAGGACAGTTCTTTCTTGGAAGGAGTGGGAAATTCATTGGTAGAGGAGATTAGCACATTCAAAACAAAACTATCATACTCTAAGTAAATAACAAGAAAGAAATTAGCCTCAGAAAAGAATTTTATTTTAGCTTAAGCAGCACTTATCACTTGGTAGATTTCATTTCCTATTTTATGAGTCACTCCAGGTGATAGAATCTTAGCTCCAGAGGGGTTAAGTGAAATCATTTTATTATGTTACAGAAAACAGGATCAACTTCACGACTTGAGGCTTTTGATACAAGTTAGTGGCAGGGCCTTCTGATGACAGTTCAGAACATTTTCCATTTTATCATCATACCCTGGAATAAGCCATTGAAATTTTAAGGACGGTAAGTGATTTTTTTGTGTTTGTTTTTTTTAACTTGTCCAGTGACACGGATCTAGTATTCAAAATGAAGACTCAGCTTTTCCAAAAATTACCAGGAAATGTGGTACTTAAAAATGGGAAAAGGGGAAAGGAGAGTGTTTGGACACTGCCATGGGATGATACCTTATTTATTATCAATTGGCAGTGGAATAGTATTGACTTGGAATTTGGTCAAACAAAAGCCATCATATTTAATGAGTCCTCACTAAGTGCCAAGTATTGTGTTCAACATTTTGTGCAATTTACTGGAGCATGGGTAAGATTCCCCTTCCCCATCTTCTACCTCTTTACAAAGGACAGTTCTTTCCTTTGTAAACTGGCGACAGTTTACAAATTATTTTCTCAAATTTTATTAATATGCCAATTGTTGACATATCTATGATTTTGGGGAGTACAACTTCACACCTCCATTAATGTGCCTGCTATGCTTACCCTCTCTATCAAAGCTCCAGTGCCAATTCGCTGTCAGTCTCATCTTCTCTTCACCAACCAGAAGTCTAAGAATTTTTTTTTCTGCTGTGTTTTGCAAGTATCACGATTAATTTTAAATATTAGGAAATGCACAGTGTCTTGAACCTGGAAGTTAATGTTTGTGGAATGAAATAAGGATGAATGACAGAAACTGGAATTTCAAAGGACACAGAGATTCTTACCAGTTGAAGTGTGGCTTGGTCAGACACAGCAGGAACAGGACCAATCATACTGGAAAGATTTCATGTTTGCAGAAACCTGAAGATTCCCTCCTCAGGAGAGTTTTGGTTTAGAATCTGCAATGTAGGTTTGGAGAGTAGGAAACTTGGTTCTTGGCTCTTGTTCCACCAACAGTGAACACATACTGTTAATTGACATCTATTTCTGTCTTTTTTTTTTTTTTAAAAAGATTTTATTTATTTTTGCATCACTCTGAAGAACTGGGGTGTGGGCCAGAGGTGTGGGAGAGCAAGTTCCAGAGAGTAGAACAGGCAGATCTGCTGAAATACACTGCTGAGCGGAGCAGTGGCCTAGACAGGAGAGGTCTGCTGCACCATTGTGGGTCACCTCCCTGACTTACTCACTGATTCCCTCATTCACTGAGATCAAACTCAGGCTGCCATGGTGGGACATTGCTGTGGTAGCACTGAGATTTAATCCCTAGGCCACCAGGGAAACCCCAATTTCTGTCTTTTACGTGGGTAAATACATGCCACCTACTCACCACAAAGATTTGGAAATACTGAGTTAATGCTTATAAAGCTATAAGTAAACAAAAGAACAAACAAAAAATGCTTATTCCGTTAATACCACTCTTAAGAGGAACAGTAAGGGACAATATCTGAGCCAGTGAATAGGGTTTATAACTAGCTAGACAGTAGAAAGTGGAACTTTCCAGTTCTACCCCTCATAGGGTACTGATGGGAATAGGGGTGAAGCTGAGACTTTTGGGCAGTTAAGCTGCTGATGCTTTGGCAGTTAGACTGCTGGTGGAGAGGGGTTTCTGGGGGAGAAACCACCACCTTGCCAATGTTCACCTTGGATCTCAGACTCTGAGCAGTGGATGCTATATGAGTTACATAGATGGCATCTGGCTTCATGCCAGCCTATAAATTTTCTTTCTTTTTTTTTTAACTGCCTTTTTTTCACTCCTTCTGTGAATAGATCATGTTGTTGTTTCTCATCATGCGTCTGTTGTGTCCTGTGTTCTTAAATGTGAAGATGAGGACCAATGATGTCAACCTAGTTTTCTCAGGGATTGCTGTTTCACTACTAATCTTTATATTTTAGATAGCACCCTAATCCTGGGTGTGGTCCCAAGAGGGAAAGTTTCCTTAGAAAGAATCTTATACAGTTCATAGCAGAGGGATTGAACAATGTTAGCAGACTTTTCTACTCTCTAGTTTGGTCAACTAGTTCATTTCCATAGTGTGGGAATGGTACAGGTTTATGGGATAGCTAGGGAGATAAGGTAGTCTAAGGAGTATGTAAATATCACATGATAATACAAGCACGTGAATATAAGGTGTTGTCCTGTTTGTTAAGTGAAATCTGTAGTCCACTAACCTGTAAATCACTCAGGGGCAAGCGCCCCTTGTTACACATTTTTTCCTAACACATTTTCTCAGGTTATGCAATCTTGGATTATTTTAATAAAAAGATAATATGATGAGTGCTTAAGAGAGTTCATTGACTTTGGAAATAGAATTAAATTCAAATTCTGGCTCTGCAACTTTGAGCAAGTCAATCAACTTCTCTAAGTTGAAGATAATAGTTCCCACCTCTTCTGGTTGTTCTAAGGATTAAAATAGACTGAAGTGCTTGACATTTCAAAGTATTTGTTCAGTTACTAAGAAAGAGGTGTTATATCTCCTCAATGTTTGTGGGTTTGTCTATGTCTACTCATACTATGTCATATGTATGTATTTAACTTTTAAAAAATATTTATTTATTTATGCATATAAGAATGGGGATACAGGCCAGAGGTGAGGGAAGTAAGAGGATTCAGCAGTGACAGAGTGGGGAACAGAACAGGTAGATTGACTGAAATATACTGCTGAGAAGACCAGCAGGTGGGCCAGGAGAGGTCTGCTGCACCATGTGGGTCACTTCTCTGGCTGGGGATATAATTTATGCTACAGTGGCTTCAGGTAGCTTCATAATGCTGAGACTTAATCCCTTGTGCCACCAGAGAGGCCCCTCTTTATATATTTTGAGGTTATATTAGAGGTGCTTCTATGTTATAGAACTATATTTTCTGATAAACTGAATATTTCATTTAAAATGTTCCTTTCTGAGTGTGCTTTTTGGCTTAATGTTTTATATCACTAACTCATTTCACAGTTGTTTCTTTGCTCTATAGTACATATTTGTTGCAGGTTAGAAAGAATCTTTAATTCTTATCCAAAATAGTGTGTACTGTTGTATATGGCTTGCAAATGATACCACTGTGGTATTCATTAAGAATTAAATAATTTGGTAAATAATGTTTAGATTTTTTATATTAGGTGGAAATGTTTGGAGGATTGTTTTTATAGGTGTTTGAAAGGCTTTTAATAAACTTAGAGAATTAGTTGGGATTTTGGATAGGCAGTAAATGCCATTTGTTAACCCTGGGAGGAATAGTTACTTAGAGATGCCAGAACATCAAGAATCCAGAAAATAAGAATAATTGGTAATATATTTAAGAAAATATAGTTTTCTTAATATAATATATATATATATATAGTTTTGCATACAGTAGCCTTGAGAGCTGGGCAAGAACATTTAGCAAAACCATTTAAATAGTCTTTGCTCCATTTGCTCTGAAGAACATAGTACCCTGCTTTCGATTATCATGGATGCCAATTAATGTTACTATTTTGCAAGGCCATAGATTATATCCTCTTAGGCCTTTAAGCCACTCTGAAATTACTTGTCCTTCGGCAAAAAGAAGATATGTTGCTAAGTGAAGTCTTATAAATACTAAGTAAGAAACCTCATCTCATGCTAGGAAGAATTTGTAGCTCTGACATTAACTGAATGGTCTTGGGCAAGTCACTCAGCCTGTCTTCTTCTGGACATACCTCTACCCTTTGGTGAGGAGCTGCTTGGAATTCCTTTGAGTGTAGGGAGTCTACAGGTGGACTGTTCTCCAGGAAATAATAATAGGGTATTAAAGCCTAATGGGATGCCTCTGAATTTCTCCAGCAAGAGGCCTTCTGCGTCAGCTACTAGCCTGATAGGCCCTGTAGAACCTCCCTTGGGAAGGCAAGTGTTGAAGTCCTGCAGAATGCTAGAAGAAACTTGATAAGATCATGAATAATTTTCTCAGTTAAAGTTATCTTGTTTAAACTTCACATTCCTGTGAGGCAGATGCTGTCATGTTCCTCATTTAACAGTTGAGAAACCAGGAGGGGACAGAGGTTAGGTTGCCCAAGATCACACTTCTGGGACAGTGGAACTCCTAGCTATCTGACTTCCACATATAAGAACTGGGCTAACTTTATGTAATTATAGGGTTGAAGACTAGAATAAAATAAGGCCAAAAATAGGGATATATCTATTCTGTTTCCATGTTAGATGGTACTTTTTGACCTTGATTGTCATGGTCAAAACTGCAGTGGCTGTGTTTTTCCACTAGATGGTTTCAGGTACAAGTTATATGACTACCCTTCAGGGATGTTGTGGAGGAGATTTGCCATTTAGTTGGACCAGGCTTCCTCTGACTGTCCCTTTAAGCCCTAAAGTTGAATATAATTCTGAGATTCTGTGACTTAAAGTCTCCCAGGAGTTCACACACAGCAAGTGGAGACCCCACCGCCAGAGGTCAGTGTCTTCACATTGGTTCATTTGTACAGAAAGATCCAAATGTGGTTCCCTCTGGAGCTGCCCGGAGAGCACATGTTTGTAACCACCACAGGATGATGTGATCCTGTGTGTAGATGGAAAAGAATGCAACAGAATATTATTATCCCTCCCTACTTCTGGCCAAAATGGTTACTGTCTGCTAATGGATTATAGAAGGTCAGAGTGCTGCAAGTTGAAGGGAGATCTCATTTCCAGAGAGCTGGGAAAGGGTGTGTTCTGATGGCCTGACTGGCAAGTGCCCTACACTCTGAAAACTAGGAAAGTGAGGAGAGGAACAGGGTAGAAGAATGTTAGAAAGTGACAACAGCAACTTGTCACACCAGAGAAGGTTGAAGGACCCAGGTATATTTGACCTGGAGAAAAAACTTGGAGGGACTATGAGAACTGTCTTCCATAAGGGTGCTCTGCAGGACTCTGTGTATCAAAACCAGGGACAACATGGAAACATCACTAGGGGACAGGTCTCAGCTTGAGTTAAGGAAGAGCCTTCTGGTAAAATCAGGAATGACTATGTTGGGAGGCAGCTCATTCTCCACCATTTATTCACACGACATATATTTGTCATAATCCCACTTTAGGCTTGGCATTTCCAGTTGCTAAGGATACAGCAATGAATAAAATACATGAGTGCCCACTTCACAGACCTGGCCCCACCTGTGTCTGCATATCCTGAGTTGCTGAGGAGCACACAAGGCCACACTGGGTGTTAGCCTAGACACATCTTAACATCCCTCAGGGGGTCGCATACCTTTCTCAGCTTTATGACACCTAGTTTGTTGTCACATCTCTGCTGCACTTTCTTAAAATCTGCAGAGAATCTCACCAAGACTACCTTGTTTTCATGGTTTCCAATAGAAACAAGATTGTATGTTAAGATATAGGGACACAATGAATTTCCAACCACAATTGTAGTTGTAAAATTTTTCTTTGCATTCAGAAGTCTTAGTAAAGTAAAATTTCTTCACTGAGAAACAATCTCTCCAGTCAGTTTATTTTTCATGTTTCTTTTATTTAAGCTGCATTGGGACAAGACATTAAAGTTGTCCACATGAAGAGTTACTATCAGAGAAGAACCAGGTCACACAGACTTTACATATTCTGTGCTTGACTTGAATATGTAGGGTCTTAACTGAAAGCAGACCGACTGTCACTGTTATCCAAATGCTTACCCAGATAGATACAGCCATGCTAAGTTCAATTCCTCTGATCGTTGGATATTTACCTTCCAAACCCCTTTTCCCCATAGTTATCTTAATGCTTCAACACTTTTCTCTTTCTGGCATGCACTTTCCTTTGCATAAGCAAACATCTTCAAGAGAGACACAGTTTTCCTTTTTTTATATATTCTTCCTCTCAGTGATCTGCTGTTGAAATGTGTATCATCCTGGAAGAAAAGAGAATCTGAGAAGAATCCATGTGGGCCAGAGCTAAGAGCTCTGATATTTTCGGCTCCTTCTTGCTAGAAAGACAGTGCTCTAAGGTGTTTGGGCTGCCTCTGACAGGCTTTCTTCCTTATAGTACCACTTGGTCAAACCTGGCTCATTCTGTGTGCGTTTGTGAGGGTTTAGAGAGTCATTCTTTAGACGCAGTGTGCTAAGCAGGCCTGAACTCTACAGGTCATTGAGAGGCCCTGAATGTGATCCCTGGGGATGCAGTATATACTGTAAGCCTGCCTGTGGTGTCTCATGCTGGCCAAGAGATTTATTTTGCCATTTTCCTTCCCAAGAAAGGAAAACCATTGTTCATTACATCTCTCACACACATCTTTTAAATTAGCAAGATTTCCTTATGGAGATTATGGGGCAGATGCACTCATGAGTTCCTTCAGAGCTTCAGTGCTGCCTAACCCACTCTCTTTTCTTTGTCTCCTACCCTGTCCAGCTCTCAGGTCTCATCCTGAGCCCCTTTGCTCCAGTACCTTTAACCCATGTTAATCTCTCCTCTGATTGGAATTTTTTCTCTACTCGGTGAAGGATCAGTTTTGTTTTTTTATTCCTTTTAATTTCTATTCTAAAAGTTTTCATTTTAATACATATTAGAAACCAATACTTTTATAAAGTATCATTCCAAGATCATATTCTTAGAATGTTATGGCAATGCCAATTGCTATAAAAATTTCAAAAAACTCCCTCTCAATTTCTGTATTTTCCTTGTTTGTGTAGGGGGCAGCAGAGGAGGGTTTGGTTTACAGCAGGGACCATCCATTGAGTGGTGCTGTTCTAGACTCTTTTATGAGTCACAGCCCTGTGAAGCTGTGCACCCAGTCACCTCTGGTTGAATCAATTGCTCCTTGCCCATGATTTGCAAACAAGACATCACAGAACATTTGTTTATAGTTTTGTGGTATGTCTGGGTTGTCATATATATATGGGAAGAGGTTTCTTTTTCATCTCTGAATAGTACATAATTCAGAGTTTTGTCAATACTGTAACGCTACTTTGAGAAACTAAGTTCTGTGCTGACCCATGTACTAGTTTGCCTACAACATCTCATTGCTACTTATGTCTTACCTCTGGGCATGGCACCCATCTTCCTTTCACTTTGGTTTGGTGCTCCTCCTTGCCAAAGAGCCTGTACAGATGAACCTACTTCAGTGGCTTCTTCAGTCTCTGTCTGCAAGTCATGCTGTAATGATCATAATCATAAATGGGTAGCTTTCTTACTGGTTTGGCTTTTCAGAAAAACTGCTGGAACCTCTGAAGCGGGGACCACCTCCCCACTTGCATCGTACCAGGACTCCACAATGACCCATGAGGGGAGTGGTGGTCAGCATGGCTGGGGGTGCCCAGACCTCTGCCCACAGCAGCAGGCAATGCACACACTTACATCGGTCATGGCTTTCTTGGCTCACTGGTCAGTTGAGCGGAACTTGTATGAGCTCCTCATGCTCCTTGGAGATGTGCTGGACATTGGACTCCAGCTTGTGCTTGACCACAGGATGCTTTGGTTCTGCAGGAGGAACAAAGACATCACCATGAGTTAGGCTTCCACACAGCCCTTCCCATGTACAGGAAAGGCAATGACCTCTCTAGACACACTTGCCAGACTAGACCCCCCCCAGTAGGAAATGGCCTGCCCCTGCTTGGTGTGAGGGGCTCTTCTTTACATTTCTCTCCAGGTTTCAGAGAAGAACTTGCATACAGAGCCCCGGGAGAAACATCATTTAGGCCTGAGGTGATGGCAGCTGCGGAACAATTCTGAATTCAGAGCTGGGAAAACCCAGGTTCAATCCCCATGCTTTTATAACATGAGTACATTCCTTCTAGTCTTTGGTCTTTTTATCTCTAGAACAGAGCTATAACTCCTCTATGTCTCACGCACAATTTCTTTTGGTGGATTGCTCCTCCATAGCACTTATCAACATTTTTAATACTGCAGATTTAGTTATTTGTTGTCTATTTCCTAGGATGTTTATCCTTTCTCATACTACCAACATCTAATATGGTGGCTGGACTGGCCTCTATACATCAGTGTCAAAAGAATGGCTCTGATGACAGGACACATGCTTTAAAGACTAGCCTGCTAACAATAGCAGTAAATGGGACTTAATTCTATTTGTGTTTATTTCTTAAGGTGGACACCTAGGTGTTATGTTCTCTATTTTTTTTTGTAAAAATTTTGAAGTAAACACTTCCTGTTTCCTCTTTTCAGTGTCCTGTGTCCCAGGATTTGTACTTCGGTGCATAAGGCCTCTCATTTATACAACTCCCGAGCCTTCTGTTCCCTGAGCTGTCAGCCACCTCACATTTGCACTCTTATATCTTAATTGAAGACATGCATGAAGTTAGCTCCCTAAGCCTACAGGATTGTAATGATTTTGTAATTAGTTCTTCCTCTTCCCAGATCATTACCTTGATTTACCCTTGCAGTCTTTTCACTGTGTTCACAAGTTCACTGTTGTTCTTGTTGGCATGGTCCGGCTAGAGATCCATCTCATTTAGGTCTGTTTCCATCTTCTTCTTGAGCTGAAGTACTTCTGCCTGGCCCCAGGCCTCTGCCTCCAAGCTGGCCTGCAAGGACTTGATCGCTTGCTGGTGGTGGTTCTGCAAGTTTAAGCACAGAGGCCTTGGCTTCTGGGCCCACTGCTCACTCTCTGGATAAGGGATCTCTGAGCATCAGATAGTAAGTAGCATGTTGTGCAATTAAACAAGTTGTATATCACCTTAGAGCTTTCAAGTGGCAGGCCCTCCCTGGTGGCGCAGCAGGTTAAAGCACTGCACTGAGAACCTAAAGCCACTTACGAATGAGTTCAATTCCCTCCTGCCCCAGAGATGACCACATGGCCTGGCAGACTTCTCCTGACCCGCCTGCTGCTCCCCTCAGCAGCGTACTTCGTCAATCTGCCTGTTATGCTTCCCACTCTGTCTCTGGTGAAGCCTCTCGCCACCCCTGAGCCTCTGGCCTGTACCCCAGTTCTGTATGTACAAATAAATTAATCTTTAAAAAAAAAAAAAGCTTTCAAGTGGCAGAGCTTCAGGGTTTGGAGGAAAGAATGGGAGGTCACTGTTTACTCTGTATCTTTGTGAGCTCAGTTCATTTTATTTATTTATTTACTTTTGAAAAGATTTACTAATTCATGCATGCTAGAGCTGGGGTGCAGGCCAGAGGATCCACCAGAAAAGGGACCAGAGCAGGCTGATTGACTGAAATACACCGCTGAGGGGAAGCAGCGGGCAAGACAAGAGAGATCTGCCATGCCATGTAGGTCACCTGCCTGGCCAGGGATCAAACTCGTGCTGCAGTGGCTGTTGAGTGCTTCATAATACTACATCTTAACTCTTTGTCCTAGCAGGGAGGCCATCAATTCATTTAATAGGCAAAACAACAAAAAGTGTCTTGCACAGAAACCAAGACTCTAATATGAAAAATGTGCCAAAGGTCACCCAGTTAGCTTACAGTGAAGTCAGTATTTAAAAACCCAGATGCCAGGTGCTTGGTTTTTACATTATAAAATGCATCCTTTGTCCATGCAAGTCAGAATTATATCTCTCTGCAAAACAAGTCATTAATTGATTGGATTTAACGTACATTAATTATAGTAAACATAATAAACATTTTCATAAAACCCTCATATAAGCTGTATTAGATGTTTTTTATAGGAGGGGGCCAGAGGATTAATTTAGATGTTTAACAAACATTTGTTTAATTGAGGCAAATAAATGGTTAACATGGTAAAGATCCTGTCATCTGCCCTACTCTGTATTTGCCTCTGTTCCACCTCTGAACATTGTTAGATTTACTACACTTTGTATTCAATTTTCATACATGGAAGACAGTTGTTATGGCATTCACAAAGGTGAACAAAATCACGATTCACTTTGATAATTATAAAACACACTGGAAAAAATTAAAGATCTAAATAAATGGAAACACATTCATGTTCATGGATCAGAAGACTTAATATTGTTAAGGTAGAATTCAATGCAATTCCCCAAATCCTAGCTGGCCTCTTTGGAAAAATTGACAGACTGATCCTAAAATATATATGAAAATGCAGGGAATCCAGCATAACCAAAACTATCTTGAAAATTAAGAACATTGGAGGACTCTCACTTTTCATTTTAGATCTTACTACAAAGTTACAATAATCAATACAATATGGTCCTGAAATAAGGATACACATTCAATGGATTAGAAATGGGAACCCAGAAGTAAACCCTCACATTTACAGTCAACTCATTTTCAGCAAGAGTCCCATGGCTATCATTCAATAGGGGAAGGGCAATCTTTTCAGAAAATAGTTATGAGATAACTGATTGTCCACATACAAAGGGATGAAGTTGTACCCCTACCTCACA